GCTTGTGAATCTTGAAGATGAGCAGTGTCTGAAAGTTTGTGACACATTAGCAGAGCGACACAGGGACAACTCCATGTCTGTGCACTTCAATAAGCTAGTTATAAACAAGAGGGTTTCTCCTCTAATGTTCCCAGTCCTTGCTACCACACTGGAGAGGACTGGACTAATGAAGATTTCCTCCTGTGAGCTCCATGAGGCATCTGCAGTATTCCTTCCGAACTCATTACAGTGAACAGAACATAGAGCAGAAAAAGCATTTTTTGCTGGCTATAAATCATGAGTGACACTAAAGTATTGCTATTAGCAGCAGAAAAATGCTTTCCTCCCCCAGCCTCGTCCAGCCCTGTGTGTGTACAACACTATGGCAAAGGGTGATGGGGTGTCTGGATGGAAAATTAAATAGAGGCTGTGTTGTCTGAAGATAAATTGGTACCTCCCTTGACGTGAGTGACTTTGTCTTTTTCTGATTTGTCTTTTAACTTAAAAAACACTGAGACTAGAGATAAGGATGAGCTTTAAAACCCTAGCCTTTGTCCCCTCCCAGGCTCTCCTGAACAAGTCCTGTCTCTGAAATAAGCTTGAAATGAAGATAAATGTTCTGGCGGCAGTAATATGCAATATTATTTTTGGCATTTGAAGAATCCCAAGTTGATAAGGGAAAACTGAAAGGAAAACAAAGCTCTGTTTTTTTTCAAATGCAAGCGACCAAATTCTGCTTATCCATATGAACCCAGAATCCTTTCTTTTTTTTTTCCAGATTATTGCAGTAATTCCTGATTTTCACCAGAGCAGCTGATTATGGGGCCTTATTTAAAACCCAGCACATTCAGAGGCCCTGGTGGAATCACACAATAACACAACTGAAAGACAAAGGCATGAGAAGACAGTGCCAACTCCCCAGCTCCTGCCCAAAGGCTAATTTGGTTTTGGACCACTAGCTGTAACAATGATAAGATTAACACCTGATATCAAGGGAAAGGCTGAACTGTCTGAGACCTTCTTCAGCAGAACAGAACTCACTGCAGCTCCTCTGGCACATTAGCATATGTTAGAGGAATGGCCCCTTTCCTGGACTAGTGTGCATTTCCCTATAGAGCCTTTGTGCAAAGCTCAGAGCAGTGTTTCTGCTGATACAGTTGTGGGTGTGTTGAATAAAACATGTGCCATTTGACATTGTTTGCTTGGGCTTCCACAGAGAATGGGAGAGGGCACCTGTGAGAGGCTGGATCTGGCCTTTCTAGGAGAAGGATGAAGCCCAGGCTAATGCAGGAGCATGGCACGTCTTTGGTTCTGAGAGAGCCCTGACCAAAGGACCCAGCTCACCCTGCATTGATTGAAGTGCCAGCTGAATATGTTGCCTTAAGACAAGGAAAAGTAAAAAGCCCAAACCTTTGCTCTCTGTACGTGCATTCCCTCGTTACAGATGTGTATGCTTTGGAAAATAAATGGGAAGGGATTTTCAGAACAATCAAAGTGTTTTAGAGGCAAAATTTCCAGTGCTTAGAAAGGCTCCTGTGTCCAAAGCACAGCCCGTGCTCTGCAAATTTCAATGTGTTTTGTCAAGGCTGGAAGTTTGATAAAGGACTGGTTCTCAAGAGCTCTTAGGGCATCCTGTTCTAGGGAACAACAGTTATTGATGTTGCTGGTTTTAAACTAAGAAATTGTCACATCTCAGCTGTTCTTGGACTTGACTGGCATGTGAGGAATGGTTGCATGGAATAGCTGGAGGCATTGCCACCTGTTGTGTCTATTCAAAGTTAATAATTTTCTAGGCAATTAAGAACTGTGCAGTGGTACATTTTATAATTCAAGATTTGTATTATGTGACCAGAAGAAGCATCCTAGCATAAGAAATAGGATACTTCTAAAGGAATACAGAATCTCCCTCCTAAAAGCTGTGAAATATTCTCAGGTCAGCTTAGAGAAGCAGCATATTGAGAAGGATCTCAGCAAGAATCAGGAAGAGCCCTAGAGGAAATTTGTTTGGCCACCTGGTACAACACTGTCTTCCAGATAAGCTCTGATGAAACACTTGTTCATTTCGTTTCTGTCACGGTGTTTCCAGCTCTGTAATGAAATGCCTCATCCCTGGCAGCTGTTGTGCCAGTGACAGGAGTTGTTCTGTCCCACGTCAGTGACACCAGGGCCAGCTCTGCAGAGAGGAGAGTCGCTGGCCAGGCAGTCACAGATGTGCCTTTGGCAAGGAACTGGCAGTGGGAAGATGACTCCAAGATTATCTGTAACTACTAAAGGATGTGCCCTTGACACCCACAGAGCAGGGTCATACCCTGTCCTGAGCTCTAAATAGTTCAAAAGCAAAAAAAGCTGCCAGTCTTTGGTTTCATGGAGCTGATCGTGGCAGTAAGGCCATCTTTAGCAGGATGTTAATATTTGGGGAACCTTCATCTCCAAGAGATTTCTGTTTCATGGAAACAAATTAATTCTTGTTTTCTATGCCGTCACAATAATCAGAACATACTCTTTATCTACTCTGACCACCTTTTGTTAAGCAGCTTTGCTTCCTTGCTCCCCACCTTCTCATGTTCTGTTTGGTGCTGGACACTAAGGCCCCTTTCCCTCAGTAGAGGCATCATAGTTTTCCACAGGAATACACATAGAATGCACCACTAAGAGCTGGTTTCCTTGCCAGCAGTGGGTGTGGAGGTTGTAACTTTTTCCAATGGCAAGGAAAAAACAGGGAGCTCACGGGCACAAATCTATCAGTGAAACTGCACAAGTGAATTAAACAGAGCAAACAAGAACTTTGCTGTTACCTTTCAAGTAAATAGTTTCTCCTTCTCAGTTTGCTCCAGCATAAAAATCTCTCTGCCCTTTACATGCCACTGCCAGTATTTATTTTTTAAGAACTTGGATCTGTTTATTTATTTATCCATATTTAGGTTAAAAGTCTGGGCTCAAAATTAAACAGTCATTCATAATGTCATTATCTGCCTTGCTCTGCAGTTAGATACTGTGTGTGGTGTCACAGGACAAAACCTTTGGCAAGGCCTCTAGAAGAGCAATTTAGCTCCTCATCCATCTTGCCTGGCAGCATGATTGGCTTCCAAGCTTGCACTGCTAAATTTGTTATTTTACTCTGACTTATATTATTGAGTGTTAAATCACTTTCTGAAGTGTTTATTGGTAATAGTTGAATTCTTTCCACCCATCTGAGCTACTTTTAAAACACAAACATTTCCTTGTATCTTGGAGCATGATGGAAAGGTGGGGACAGTTCCTCAGGAGGATGGGATGTAGAAATGACCAGCTCATTAAGTAGGGACAGAATTTACCAGTGCTGTGGAGGACAATATCCTCCCCCTTCCATCAGGATGAAACAGTAAACTCCCACTGCCACTCCACAGCACTCACATGAAGAAGGTTAACTTGTGTCTTGGTTCTCCCATCATGTCTGGCCTGCCAGGAAGCAGATGACCTGTTTACTGGAACACCAATGACTTCCTGACAGGACCTTTGTAGATCCTGAATCTCCCTGGATAGAAGGCAGGCTGTGATCTGCAGGGTCAGGAGGTTATTAGGCACCAACATGCCCATGCTTCCAAGTGTGAAGTGTGGTCTGCAGCCCCTCCCTGGCACTGATGTCTCTTGGGAAGGAACCAGAAACAATTTTATTATTCCTATTTAGGAAAATGGAGCAGAGAATCAGAGAGCAGAAATAAAAAAAAGAGCTTAAAATCTACTGTGGCAGTTAGAAGCTGTGCTGGAGAACAAAGGCCAGAGGCAGGTCAAGCTAGAGAGAAGGCAGAATTTTGAGGAAGCCCTTTGGCAACTGATCTCTTGAGGACCCAGATGTGACAGCCCAGCAGCCTGATCCAGGCTGGTGTGCTCAGTACTGCAGGTCCTCTTACCTCTTGCCTTTGCTTCAGTGAAGACCTACAAATCAAATTTTTTCTTTTAATTTTATTTTTAATGAGGAGGTCTGTTGAGTCTCTTTCCTGCATCTGGGAGTTACTTTCCAATCTGATGAACACTGACTTTTAGAGATGACACCAAGATCACAGTAGCAATCAAGACTCCTTTGAAGGCAGAGCTAAAAATACACTCCCCAGCTGACACAAGCCTTCAGGAGGAGAACACAGAGTTTGGTTTGAAAGAATACATCTTCCTTAGTCTCCATGTCTTCTGCCAGAGGACACCAAATCTGAGAAAACCATGCAAGCAGGTTACCTCTGCCTTCTGAAATGAATATACAGACCCATACTACCTTCAGCCTCAGCAAGGGGAAAGCTTTAAACCCTCTGAGTGCCTTGCAGAATGGTTTCATTGGCAGTTTTTTGCCTCTCTGGTCATGATGGCATTTGTCAAGTTACTGCATGGCATCTTTAGCTGCTTGCCCTTGACAATCCCTTAGGAAAGGAAAGATCTGGGGCAGCTGATGGACAGGACTGAAACTGAGCCTTACCTGCTTCCCTTCCTGCTCTCCTCCCTGCTAATTACAGGGTGCTGGCACACAAGCCCTGGCTAATGAGGCATTCCCAAAGCCCTGCTTCTGCACTTGCAAAGGAGACTGTGGTGAGTAGTGCCACTGCCACCTCCTGGGCTTTCGGAGGACTTGAGCACATCCCGTGGGCCGCAAATGCAGATTTATGCAAATGTTGGGCAAGAGAACATGGATTGCCCAGCTTCAATCTGTGCCAGCCCGCTCTCTCCCCGGGTCAGGCACTAACAAGCAGGTGTTTGCAGAACAGAGTGCAGGTCTCCCTCCCTTTGAGGCATTAGCTAAAGATGGATCATTAAGGCTTTTGGGTAGGAGACGTACAGATGAACAATCACACACAATACCAGCTCCACATTTGTAATGTGTAATGTGTCAGGGGGTAAAAGGTTGAGTAACCCACTTTGGCAAATGGAAATAGCAAGAAGGGTGTATTTTTCTGGCTAAATGAAAGCCTTCTGTGTGTGTTATTTTTTCTTGTGTCTCCATGCATAACTTGAATGCAATGAAAGGAAAAATTAATTTATTTGGTCAGACAAAAATACACCAGATTTATTGTTTTGAGAGATACAGGGGGTATTTCGTATTTCTACATGGCTGCTGTAGCTATAATTGGCAGCACAATGCTCTGTCAAAAAAAGGCATTCACCCAAGAATGTCTCTGGGCCCAGCCAGCCTCAGTCCTAGAGGTGGATGTCCCATCCCTAAACCTCTGTGGGCAGTGCTCCATTGCCAGGAGTCTGTTTGATGCTCCCATTTAGGGTGTTGGCCCTGAAGATGTAAGACCTCCCTCTAACTGAGCCTTCAGTGTGGATGCTTTCGGGCTTGTTCTGGCAACGGAAGAACATAAGGAAGCCATTCCTGTAGTTTTTGTTCATCCATCCATAGAGCAGGGGGTTGACAAACGTAGAGCACATGGCCCCAACATGGAAGACAGTGTACAGGAGTTTGTACTCATGGAAGATAAGAACCAGGTCAAGATCAATGGCAAGCTGGAATATGTGGAAGGGGAGCCAGCAGACTGCAAATACCACAACTACCATCACGAGCATTTTGGTTGTCTTCCTCCTCCTGCACTGGTTTTCATTCCTAGAAGTGGGACTGACGTGGTTTTTCAGCTTGAACCAGATCCTGGTGTAGGCATAACAAATAATTGCAAGAGGAAGAACGTACTGCAGGAGGAGCATGGACAGACTGTAGATGGTGGCATCTCTGTTGTTAGCAGAGGGCCATTTTTCTGAGCAAACAGCCATTTTGAGGTTAATGGATGGGATTTCCTCGTATCGGAACTCCCTGAAGATGGCCAGAGGCCCTGCTAGGATGGCTGCTGCCAGCCACATGACAGCTATGATGGTGAAGCTGAGCCTCTTGGAAATCCTGCTGTCCAGGTGGAAAACAATACAGCGGTACCTGTCCAGGGCAATCACAGTCAGGGTGAGAGTGGACACGTGGACACTCAGAGCCTGAGCATAAGGAACCAGGTGACAAAGGACAGCTCCAAACTTCCACTCGTCCAGCAGGGTGTACACTAGGGTGAAAGGCAGGCAGAGCGTATCCACCATCAGGTCTGCCAGGGCCAGGTTAGCTATGAAGAAGTTGGTGACAGTCCTCATGGTCTTGTACTTCACTATGATGTAGATGACCAGGGAGTTTCCGATGAAGCCCAGCAGAATGATGAGGGAGTAGGCAGCAATCAGGATGACCTGGACCCCCAGGATCTTGGTGCTGTCCATCATGACACTGCGGGAACCAGAGAGGTCCTGGGTAGGAGCGACAAAGTCCTTGGCATGCCAGCTGTGCGGCAGCCTCTCATCTAATGCTGTCTTCTCCACGGTGAATGTGCTGTTGGCTCCCTCCAATGGTCCCATGCCTGGCCTGAGACTTTCCGTAAGGAGAAGGGGGTCTGGAACACAGACATAGCAGAAGTGAGAGCACAGGTTGCACTTGTCTTTGATGAGATTCACTTGCCTACAAAAATTCCCTAACACCTTAAGAACTAGGAAAGCAGAGAGACAAGGCACTCTCAAAGTCAAGGTGTTCTTCTCCACCTCCCTGCAACAATTTATTTATTTCCACATTGCACACCAGGTTTTTTTCTGTTTCTTATTTCTCACCTCTCCAGGTGAAAATATCTGTCCTCTGTCTCTGCATAAATCTCTGCCACTGCTCCTGCTCGTGATGCTGCCACCCAATCCACCCAGTACTGTCTGCTCTCCCTCCCAGTAATATGGGTAGCACAACTAATGACATTTCATGAGCCACTCTCTGTGATCAAATGTATCTCATAGCCATTCCCTGGCCTAATTATCAGGCCTTCAAGGTCCTGTGAAGCAACTTGACAAACCAGTTTTCTTCTTCCTTCCCCTGCCAGTCCCAGGGTTCCCAGGCATCAGGCAATTGTTGCCTGCCTTGATGGCTTTGAAGGTCACAGGCACCCAGCCAGGCAGGGGTTGTGTCCCCATCACAGAAGAGGGAAGTGTGACAGCACACGGAGCAAGTCCTAAGTAAGGAGTTACTGGACAGTGAGACCTGTGAACCCTATGGCCAGGAGACACCTCCACCATCCTCTGCTTTCTCCAAGGATTCAGTGAGTGGCTCATATTCCTTTATAGGATTTTTGAGTCTAGATTATGATTGTTACAATGATACAACAAACCATGTGTTAGGATTTGGCCCAATCTGAAGAGGGTCCAGGTGATTATAAGTTGAATTATAAATTCTCTATTACTTAGGTGATTAGAAATCATAAATTATTTATAAATTCTGTATTTTGCTATTTGTAGATTGTACTATGTTGATTCTGCTTGTAGAAATCCTGTGCTGTTTCAATCATAAATTCAGTTGTACACTAATCATAATACCCTGATAAAGAAACAAAGCTCTGTCACCATGATTTGGTGCCATCTTCATTCTGTCCAGGATCCCTAAAAGAACCTCTCTGTCCTCTCAGTGCTGGTGACACCCAGACATCCTCTGGCTAAGCAGAAGAGGAAGCTCCTACAGGGACGTGCCTGTGCAGGGTATAAAGCTGTGAGGCTGTGAAGAAGTCTCCCACAGAGCTGCTGCTGAGCATCCAGGCACAGAGGGGCCGAGAGCCAGAGCCCCAGCATCCATCAGCCTCCTGCCACATGGGGCTCAAGTGCCTGCGTGGGATGGCTGTGGGAGCAGGGAGCCCAGAGAGGCAGCCTGGGAGCCCTGGCTGGCAAGAGGTGCCACTGGAGCAGCAGAGTTGGCACAGCAGGGTGGGTGTTCCTGGAATCCAAACACGGCAGGAGAAAAGCCAGCTCTGTTACTGGTTCAGGATTGCTGTGGGCTCTGTGGAGAGGGGTGGACATGGCCCCTCACTTATCCCCTCTCCCCAGCCCCACTCCCACTGCAGGCTGAAACAAAAGTGAGCAAAAGTCACCGCCCTGCCCAAGCAGGGAGATCAGCAGAGCATTGTGTTTTCTCTGACCTGCAGAGAGGGGGGAAATGCCCTTTCACTAAGGGAGGGAGGCAAAGAGCTTAAATGAAGTGGGAATTCAAGGCAGATTGCTGAGTATCTTCTCAGGCTCCTCGAGGAAGGAACTGGGCTTTTCCCAGAAAAGATGTGACTGGGTGCTGGTGGGCTTCCTGCAAGTCCCATGCAAGCCAAAGGTTTAAGGGCAGCCTGTCCTTGGGAAGAGAGGATGCTTTGCAATTGCATTTCAACCTAAGCTAAAATGTTTGCTTGTCCTGCCCTCCCTCCTCAGAGCGAGGTTGTGATTCCCCCTCAGGAGCTGCTCCCAGGATCTGCCTGGCCAGCTGCAAAGCCAGGACCCTGCTGAGGCTCAGCAGAAGAGCTGCCTGCAGTAAAACCACCCCTGCTGCCACCCTTTCTCTTTCCCTCTCCCTGTCCAGTTGCTTGCCTAACATCTCATTCTGCAGACTGATTTATGACAGTGGTAAATGAGGTTGTTGGGCTCAGACACTCTGAGGTAGGGGACAACATGTAGCTGCTGCTAGGAGGGAAGGAAGCAGAGGGAAAAATGGGTGGATCTGCTAGGTCAGGGTTTGTTTAAGGGTGATCTCAGACCTCCACAACACCCCTGCCCCAGCCTTGGAAAGACCGAGGGGAAGCTCCAGCTTCTAGGACAGGAGAGAGGAGCTCAGAGCCATGCCACACAGTGGGTGCAGGGGAGCAGGGCCCTGGGAGGGTGGCACAGCCCAGCCCCTTTGGCAGCCAGCTGTGCTGCAGCTGGCCCTGAGCAAACCCCACTGCCAGGAGAGCAAGGTCAGCCAAGGAAATAGAGCTAGGGACACTTTCAGTGACTGTGCTTTCCCTGCTTGCCACCTACGTGGGATTTAAACCTTCGGGATTGTCCAGCATTACCTTATCACTTGCTATTGCCTTTTCTGTGGCTTGCCTGTTCCATTTATCTTCAGTACCAACTCCTGGCAGCAGGCCAGTGGACACTCCCTTCTCTTTTTCTCCATCTCATCCAACTGGCTGCCAGTTCCCGTGCTCACATCTCAGCCTATTTCCCTTTGCTGGAGACTGGCAGCTGCCCACCATCTGAGAGGAGCCAGGAACATCATGGCTACTGGAGCAGCTTCACTTCCTAACAAAATGGCCTTAATGGAGTCACTATTTCATTTTGCTTGTTTTGTTTTTCCTACAAATCAATTAAGGCATTTTAATTAAGAGACAAAATGATTATAATAAATGTTCCCATTCCAGGGGCTGTCTGGAGGTCACTGGGATGCTGCTAGGAGTGGACTGAGGTCTGTTCCAGCAAGTAATGGAAGCACTGGCATATGTGTAGGCTGCTGTCAGGCCCCATGCCTAACAGGCCTGCCAGACCAGATGAAAAAATCCTTGAAGCTGAGAGCCAACTGGTTTTGGGACAAGAAAGCAGCAGGAGAGACCAGGGGGAGGCAGAAGTACTATCCAGGTCCTTTCCTCTGTGCTGAGTTGTCATGAAGGGTTGCAGGAACAGAGTGCTGCCTGTACCAAGACAACCCCAACCCTCACCCCCTGCTCCAGCCGAGGCTCAGCCTGAGGCAGGGCTGGGAGCTGGGATGGCTCCCAGTGAGACAGAGCTGTTCCCTGTGCCAGCAGCTTCAGCCTTTGGGAGGAGGAGAAGCACAGAGCAGCCCTTCACTCAGCACACTGCTGTCAGTGACTGGGACAGTGACCAAAGTGACAGCTCCATCCCTACAGAGGGCTCAGACCAGGTGCCCTGGGGCTCATCCACCTCTGCTTCCTGGGGCACCCAGCTCCCTCCATGTCCCTGCTGCAGTCCCAGGCATTCAGCCAGGCTGGAAGAGCCACATCCAGACCTGGAAGAGCCATCTGTAAAACCTGGCAGGGTTCAGAGAGCAAGGCTGGAGGGGTGGTCAGAGGGATGGAGAAAACAGAGCTTGTTAATTAGAATTTCTCTTTTTGTCCAGGCAGTGAGACTGGAGTCCATGGCACCAAAAGGAATGAAGAGTCTGCTCTTTGGTTAATGACAAACTCTTCCTAGAGCAGTGCTGGAGTGTGAGGGCTGAGGCTGATGGATACTTCCATGGCTTGGCTCACTGATTTATTCCATGCTTGTCCTTCCTCCAAAGCAGCTCAACTCCACCAAATCCCTTAATCTCCAGCAGCCCAATCAGGAGCACTGATTCATCTCATCTTCAGACCCATACCCAGACAGACATCCATGATAAGGAGGTCTGAGACCATCCCTCATCACGAGAAGCTGGTGGTCACCCTGGGACAAGCCACCTTCATATTCCCTTCAAGGGGCAGCAGTGTTCAGTGTCCCTGCACCCCACAGCACAGCACTTAAGGGAGAGCAACACAAAAAATGGGGATATGGAGGTTGACCAGCCTGCCAGACCACACAGCACATCCACAGCAGGCCTTGGGCAGAGCCCAAGTTTTCTAAGTCCAGCCTCTTGTATTCACCACCAGAGAGGACTCTGCCTCTCAGCATTAAACCTGAACATAGATCTCAGGAACTGCATGAAAATGCAATATGTGACTGATGGAGGGGAACGAATTTTATCTTCTCTCTGCAATGGGCAGGTTTCAGAACAAACAGCAGCCCTGGATGATTTCCTGAAGCCAAAGAACAGACAGAAATTATCCCAGCTCCTTCTATCTCCAGTGAAGGGATGATTGCCTTGCTATGACACTCCAGCAAAAGGGAAGACCCTCTGACCAGCCCACCATCTGCTGCAGCTCTGTAAGTTATCTATCCAACTGAGGGCCACTGCTGCAGAAACCTCATGGCATCACACACTCATTGGCACCCAGAACTGCTCCTGGGGGACCCCAGCATAAACTGGCACTGGGAGACAAAGTGCAAGGATGAGGAGGTACACCAGGCAGTTCTTGTGGTTCCTCACACTAAATATTTTCATGTCCCAGCCTAGCTGAAGCCATGGAAGACTCTGAAGGGGACAAGGCAATGAGGATGCTGTAATCACCCAGCTCAGGACAGGATGAAAAAGGAGGTGGTGAGAAGAGATCTGTTTGGCAGGCATACATGCTTTCTCATGGGAATTTATCCTACAGAAAGCAGAGGGGAGCAGTGCAGGGCAGTAGTGGGATGTGCCATGGGAGCAGAGCAAGGCTGGCTGGGACATAGGGTGACACTGAGATAGAGACACACCAGTTGCTGGGGCTGCAGAAAGGAAGAGAGAGCGTGGTGGATGGATCCTGGTTAGCCTGGGGAATCTGTTACCTCCTGAAATTTATAGAGTCTGGGATAGGTGAGACAGTGGAACAGAGGGAAATAACAATTCACTGACAGAACAAACAGAGAAAACCCAGTATCCTGCTTTGGGACAGACCAGAAACTCTGTAGGTGAAATGCATCTGCAGCAGACTATAAGAGGATTTCTCTGTTCAAGCACTAACATGCAATGGGTGCTGAGAGAAAGCAAGCGCCGTTTTTCCCCCTGCATCCCATATCCCCCTTTGCATCTCCCTCTCTGATCTGTGGCAGAGAGCTGAGTGCAGCAGCATGTGCAGTCCCAGCACGGAGGAGCTGATGAGGTTTGTACCAAGCCACGAGGAGGCAGACTGCAGGAGAGATCAGGATTTCTCAGGCAGCCACGCACCTCAGCCCCTCACCTGCACCTCTGGAGCTGGATGTGCCCGGGTTCTGCAGCACCCTGGAGCAGCCTGCTCTCCTGACTGCTCTCACTCAGCATCCTGCTTCCCACACTCCCTGCTTCTGCTCAGGGATCTTTCAAAACTCTTCTGTCAGTATTTAATTTGCTTTTTCTATTCCAGCTCTCAAGGCTGTCTGTCCCCAAATCCAGTTTCCCACAGATGCTTGGACCTTTTTTGCCTGAGCCATGTGGCATGGACAAGACCTGGCCCCCTCTCATCCCTGCTGCTCAGGTGAGCCCCCCTTGACCCACCTGCAAAGGCCAGAGCTTCCTCCTCCTGCAGGAACCGAGCTCTCACCTCCAGTCACTGTCTCATCGCTGGCCAGGACGGAGCTCTTGGTCCTCTCCACTCTCTGGAAGTCAACCTGTGGCAAAGGAGTGAAAAGCACTTTTCTGCAACTGTCCTCGGAGGAGAGAGGAAGTCAGGTGAGGATCTGGGCTGCTGGAGAGTGTTTCATCGCCAGGAGCAGCTTTGGAAGCCGTCCCTGAGCAGCAGAGCCCTCTGGCAGGGTGACTGACAGCCCCCTCTCACGAAGCTGGATGCTGTCTTCGCTCCTGAGTGAGAGGAAGGCAGAGAGCGTGTGTTTAACAAACAGCAGTGGAAAGGGGGAGGGAGCCTGCTGCTGCTGTTTATACAGTGTTCAGCCACTGAGGGGCTTCTTGCATCGAGCAGAGAGCAGCCTTTCCACCACATCAGTTTCCTCTCCAGGGAGAAGTGCTGGGAGCTGGAGCTCTGCAGGCTCCCTGTCCATACCACGGACCTGGGCGAGTGTTATCTGCCCTCACTCCACAGCTGTCCTATCTCCTCAAGCTTTGAACTCATTGGAACTGGCACAGCCATGTCCAGAGGGGGATCTCCCCTGTAGCAAGAGGTCTGCAGGTCCTGCAGCTCAGCAGAGCTTTCACAGACCTCCCTCCACCCTCCTCCGTCTCAGTGTTTGCCCAGTGCTCAGAGCAATCTGCAGCTTTGGGACGGGACTTCAGGGACTTCTGAGATACAAACAGAAGTAATGCTGAAAAGTTTTAGCCACTTTGCAGTGGTTTGATATGCTCCAGAGCCAGATTCATTGTGGATGTGGAAACCACATGAGAGACTTTCAATTTTAGGATGCTCAGCACTGTCCACACACCTGAAGTAAGAAAGAGAGAGAGACAGAAAAGCAGCATCCTCATGTCCAAATCTGCAAAATCCAAGCTTGCTGGAGGCCAGGAATGCACACTAAAGGCAACACAGGGAAGCAGATAAGTGCAGATAAGCCCCAGCTGTTCAAAGATTTTGCCCTCAAGGAGAAGTCATGTGTATTCTTAGCATAGGATTTCCAACTTAGGCAATGTGTGAATTTGCAGCTCACCTGGGCTAGGAGATGCTCCCACAGGCTGAGGAGAAGGACACCTCTCCTTGGCTTTGAGTACCTGCAGCTGGAATTTTATCAGAGAAGTCTTGCTCTTTACCCCCACAGTGAACTTTGTTCTCCTTTTCTTTGTGAGAATGGAAACAGGGAGGTTTTTCAAGCACCCCTTTGTGCCAAAAATTCACAATACAGCAGGAAAAATAAAACACTCTAATGGCTCAGCAGAAAAAGAGGAATGAGAACATTCCTGAAATCACATGGAAAGTGACACTTGAACCCATGACTTGGACAAGAGTCCTCATAAGTCCCATCTTCCCCCTTCTCTATCTGTCTCCCGTTCAGAAGGAAAGGACTAGGCATGAAATCCACCAGCTGTGCTAACTGGATTTTTGTGGGAGTTTCATGTCTTCTCCCCCTTCACTTTCCCTAAGGCTGTTGATTTAGCTGCTCAGGAAAGCTGGGAGTGGAGGGAAGGAGGACAAGACAAAACTGCTTGGAGAGAGCCATTGTGGTCTCCCAGTGGCTGCAGAGAGAGGCAAAGAGAGCAGTGAGTGGAGTTGCTACTCCCCCTGTTCCCAGTGGATGGATACTCCTCCTCTCCAGGGTCCTCAGCAGTGATGGTTGATTTCAGCTCAAGATTGGTTTTTTCCTCCTTTCTCTTCTGTGTGAGATTTTTCTTGCTCGCTCCCCAGATTCCTTTGCTACCACTCCGCACTCTTCTCTTCCCAGGGCTGAAATGAGATGCCTGGGGAGAAGGCAGTGATTGACAGGAGAGAAATTTGTGCAGCCTGAAGCTGTGAACCTTCATCAGGACCATGGAGTCATTCCAGTCATTTTTGGCACGTGGTCTTTGCTGATGATAGCAAATGCAAGCTCTTAAATCATGGATCAGCCAGCGCAAGTCCCCAGGATGTCCTGTCCCACATCTAAGGGGTCCAGTGGAGCACCAAAACCTGCTGTGCTCCAAAACATCACCTCAGCTCTTTGACCAGACAGAGCAATGCAAAAAGGTGCAGCTGAGCTCCAGCACAGCTGGAATGCCATCCCAAATGGCACCCACCAGTCTGGAGTTTGGTGCCAGTCCCTGGCTGCCCCAGGCTCTCCTCACAGTGCCACAGACACAGGCTGCCTGCCAGTCTGCCTAACCTCCCCCAGCCACAGCAGAATTACAGCCAGCAGCAGGTGCAGCATAGCCTTGGCTCCTCCACAGGGAGGGACACCCGGGGGCTGCACTGCCAGACCCTCTCACTTCTAGTGGGCTCAGAGGAGCAGTTGTGGCACAAAATGCAGCAGCCTGAACACCAAGGTGCAAAACAACCTCCCCACACAGCTTACAGATCCCAAAGCAGCTGAGGGCCTTCCCAGCCCCAGCAACACTCTGAAGGAGGAGGAGGATGGGGGGATACAAAGATGGTGCCTTGCATTGTCCTGGGGTGTGGAAGGCTGTGCAGCCCCGAGCAGAGATGCCAGGACTGTTGTAACCTCAAGGCTGGGGTATTCTCACACACAGGCTGGATACCCACCTACACCTGCACAGGTGTCCCAGGAGCCTCGTGTCCTTCCAGACATGATGGGATCATCCAAAGGATCTTTGCAGCTCAGAAGCCTTTCCCAGTGGTTGGGCTTCTATTAGGCAAAAGCCAGTCTGCTCACCCATGCTTCTGAGAAATACAACAGTGAATTTTGTACTCCAGGGAGTAAAATGATGTCAAAAGGCTGAGAAATGGGGCAGAGAAGAGAGCTGTCGTTTGGCCTGTAATCTGCTCTGCCTCTGTGTGCCGGCAGGCTCTCAAATGGGGCAGAGAAGAGAGCTGTCGTTTGGCCTCTGGTAATCTGCTCTGCCTCTGTGAGCAGGCAGGCTCTTAGTCTGAGCACCTTGCAGCTGCAAACCATCTGCTGTAGCTTAACTTCTGTCACAAAGGAAGGTGGATTATCTGTTCACTCCCTGGGAGGAATCTAAGAAAACTGTTACCAAGGCTTCCAGATGCTCTGGTTCATCCTGCTTCATCTGGAACAGCAACAGTGACATACTTTAAAAAGCAGCTTTTCATTTTTTAAACATCTGTTTAATTCCACCTGCATGTAACCAAAATATTTCCACTGCTCCTTCCTGAGGTGTCATGCCTGTGTTTTCCTGGGCAGCCTCCAAAGTATCAGCAAGTTTTGGTAACACAAAAGCCCCTTTTCCATTTGAGCCCCAGAGTTCACGGATGCAGTGGATTTGGGAGTCTGATGCATTTGGGAACTAAATTAGCCACAAAGAGACTCAGGGGTGGGAGGGCGGATGGCAAGCTGTCTGTACCTTCTCTGAATTTAAAAACAGATTCTCATTTCGTAACAGCTTTTTGTCCCCATGTGAACATTTCTGGAACTAGTGAAGGAGCAGAGACACCATGAGGGACAAGGTTTGGCTAAAATATCTGAGCTATCTGACACTGATAATGTCAGTGAGAGGCACTGGAGAAGCAGGAGGAGAGATGAACCATGGGTTGGCCTGGGATTGGCCTGGGTCTGCCACAGCTCTGCTCACCTTCAGGGCAGGCAGAAGTCAGGGATGCTGGGTGTGTCTGCAGGGTGAGGGTCAGTGAGTCAGGAAGGAGATGATCATATGGAAAAAGATCAATGGGATTTGTCCTGCTGAACACATCACCACACTTCAGCTCCTGCTCCACTCAGGGCAAACCCACAGGGCTCCTTTGATTACGACAATTAATGCCTAGGAGGGTTTACCCCTTTCATCCCCTTCCCACCCCTGGATCTCACTCTGAAACACAAAATGCCCTTGATCATCCTCACATCAGGACAGAAGGACTTCAGGCAGACATCAGCAGTGCTGAGCCCAGAACTGGCCCCTGCATTTAGCTGCCAGTTCTGCAAGTCACTGCACTGAAAGCTTTGTTAATTTATTAGAGGGTTGCTTGTTGTTTGTGTACTGAGCCAGGTAGAAAACAGCTTCTGCAGAAGAGGATAATTGCAGTCAGATAAGCTCTTCAGAGCCAGGATTGCAAAAATACGATACGATGTAGACCAGCAGTTGTCTGGGTAGAACAGAAACATGGATGAGATTTTGGGTTGGAACGTGTTTCCCCCATCTCTCACAGACTCCCTGTCTGCTCTTGGGCAAATCATTTGATGTATCTCAGTTCTCTGTACATAAAAAAGGTTATAAAAATGCCTCACTCTGGCAAACTCACCCCTGGAGCAGGGGACCTGGTGCTTGGATGTGCAGCAGTGGCAGCTGCTTTCTCACTTTGCCCTAGGGCATCTCTTTCTAAGTTGCCCATCTCATTTAGGCAGCGTGTTCTGTCATCAGGGTCTTGCTCTCCCAAACTGGATACTCCTCCTGCACAGTTCTACAAAGAAATTTTTGCCCAGGCTGTCACTCCTGAGATGACAAACAGTGCTATAAATGCTGGATTGTGTGATGAGAACAGGCAGAGCTGGATGGGCTGATGGCAGCCCCAGCCTAAACTCTTCCAAAGAGTCAAGACTGAAAGTGATGCAAATGGCTGGAAAATTCAGAGCATGACTTGTCTTCTATGGGCTTGGTGTTGCCAAAAGGCATCCAGGAGCTGGGATCCAGTCTCAGCAGCACTGTGGCAGCTGCAGGGTCATGTTTGCCCCTTCACTGCCTCATTCCATCTTTTCTGGTCCTGTGGGGACCCACACCAGCTGTGGGCAGGGAGCAGGTCACCCGTGCCCTGCTCAGCTCAGCAGTGCTGGCCTGGGCTGGGCTGGCAGCAGTGTGTGAGCACAGGAGGGTCAGATCCACTCCTGGTTTAAACCCAGGGATTTAGCTGAAAATCCATTTGGCTCCGTGTTCCCCAGAAACATGACTCACAAGCCAGTGTCTGACACTGAGAGATAGGTATGACACGAGTGCCCCATGGGAAGAGCTGTGTCCCCAGGGCATGAGCAGAGCACGCAGGAGCTGAGCAGAGACTGTGCTGGAAAGCACAAAGCCTTATAAAGGCAGTGCTCTGGGTTTGTCCTTCTCCCAGCTCTTCAGGCGATGAAAAGGACGGCTCACAGCCCTAATTAACTGGAACATGCTAATACCACTGAGCTTCCCTGGCCAGCAAATTTGGCACAAGGCATATGGGACACTTTCCAAACAACTGCTCAGGGGAGCGCGTGCCTGCAATTTGTTATTCGAGGAGCAGTTTCCTCT